ATGTGTTCGTGTGATCACTATTGCGTGATAGAGCGTGATCGCGTGACGAAGGAGATGTCTGACTCACTAGTTGCGTGCAGTGCAGGCGAAGGCAACGCCAGGCGAGGGGAGAAGGGGCAAGCACTGGGAAGTCTGGGGTCGAGGAGAGGAAACCTCGTTTCCTCTCTAACGTTCCTAGTGCTCTCCTTTTCTCTCTTCGCCTGACTATGCCTTTGCCTGCACTGCACACAACTAGTGACACGGAGTATAGTAGAATCTGGACTAATCTTTTTAGTCTTAGCCGCATTCTGAAATGAAGAGAAACGCACATAGATGAACGAGACGGAGAAAAACCTGTGTGCGCTCGGCTTGAGTACGCTCCCCGTATCGTTTCCGCTCAAACAGCATTTGCAAAGAAAAAAGAAAAACGGAAAGTTTTTTTTTTTTCCCGTTTTCCGGAATGCGCAATGTCCGAAGGCAAACAACAGTCGTGTCCGCGTCGGACACTGTGTCGGTCGCCGTCAGCGCCCCCGCCAGTCCCAAGGAAACGTGCTCGGCACGGAAAGAAGCACTTTGCTCCGGACCACCGCCGGCGCTCTCACTTTACACTCGCGGAAGCAGCCGCCGGGGCTCCGGAGGGGATTCCGCTACAAAACCTCCTTAATCCCGACACCGCCGCTGCGCAGAACAGAGAGAAAAAAGAAAGGCCCTGCGATTTTAATGCTTCAAACACTCAAACGTGGCGGGGGTTCACACGGGTGCCGACGCCTTCTCCCTTCTTGAACACGCTTACGGCAGCGGACTCGTGCGCTTCATTGTTTGTTCTTTAACCTCGCGTTTTGTTTCAATGTTTGAGGAGCGGCAGGAAAAAAATCCTGCGGAACCTGCGCAAACAACAGGAAAACGGGCAGCGGCGTTTTTTGCTCGCTTGAGCGCTTTTACTCGCTCTTAGGAGTAGAGCGTGCTGTTGTTCTTTGCCCCCCTTTTCCTCTTTCTCGGGGTGGTGGAGGGATCTTCTTTGTTTGAGAGCACTGTTTCTGACAGAACGGACGCCCGGCGGCCTGTTTGAACTGCACTCGGACGCGGGCTCGATCGGGACCATTTCCGCTACTGTTTCGACCGTTTCTTTTTTTTTTTTCCCCCTTTTTTGTGAATAGTTATTGTTGTATTATGGTGGTCACCTAAGACCTCACCGACTGTGTCGTACTTGCCTAGGTTACATTGTGTGTGTGTGTGTGTGTGTTTTTGTGTGTGTGTGTGTTTGTTTGTTTGTTTCTTTGTTTGTTCCTCTAATGCTGACAGCCGGTTTCCGCCGCGGCCCCCTGTTCCGGTTTGTTCTTCGTGAACGTGGTCCAAACCTTTCCCATAGCTTTTTTTTTTTTTTTTTTTTTTTTTTTTTTTTATTGCGATTGATTTGTTGCGGTTCTGGTGTGCCCGTGCTTTGAGGGGGGGAAGTAAAACGGTACACATGTAGCCATTTTCGGACGGCGTTCGGAGCCGTGTTTATGCCGCCATTTTCTCCGACCGCTGCGCTACAGTGTGCCACACAGCTCACTGTGTAGCTCGCCGTAACTTGGCAAACGGCGAACGCTGCAATCCCAGGGAGCCAATCAGCGCATCGGAGGGAGACACGTGACAGTAATCTCTCTCATAGTGGCGCGCAATGGTGTCGAAGCCACGGGCGGCAGAGGAAGGAAAAGCCGCTTTTGTAGGAATGTAGAGCGACGCGTTAATCTTCCAGGTGGGCAAAAGCGACGGGCTGGGAGAGGCAAAAGAGGGTCCGGGACAGAAGGGAAGTTCCTCCTTTCCCTCTTAGTACTTTTGATGAGGGCTGTCAACTGCTTCGCCCCTGTCGCTTTGATTGGCTGGAGGGGGCCGTAGCGGTCTTCTTTTTGCCAAGTTACGGTGCAACTAAGTATAGAGGTTGTGATACGCCGAACGCAGTGGCGTACCAACTTGTTTTTAAGTGAAGAAGCAAGCAAGACCCCCCCCCCCCCAAGGGCCGGGGGGCCGCGCCCTTGGCATCCTTTGGATGCCGCCGGCCAGTGTTTGCCCCGTTCGGTCATGGCCAAACGTTTATACGTTAAAGAATATTATACCCTTTTTTTTTACATTTCGATATTTTATATTTGCCCGGTGCCTTTGCGTATGCGTCATATCATTACCCGGGTTTTGTTAGCGGGGCTCGGGAACGATCTACTCAAACTCCCTATCGTAAATATGCGGTTCACCGTTTTCTTCGGCGCACCAGTGCTTCGTTTTTCCGTGTGTTGGTGCGTTGAGTGCTGGGTGTTGTATGCAGTGCATTTTTGTTTTTTCTGGTACAGAAATCAAAGAGGATCAGGAAGCACCGTGGAAGAAACAAGACGAGACACGACAGGTAAGCTGTCTATGGCTAGGTTTTGGCAGATCGTCTATTGTCTCCGGGGTCAGACCGTGCGTAGACCAACAGTTTTGTTTAGTGAATGCTGCAAGCGCCGCACGCGCGCGCCTTCCCCGTGTAAAAGATTCGAAGTAAATAACAAAAATAAAGCGTTGACGAACGCGCGTGCAAGATTCCCTTTGTTTTAGGCTTTTGCTTTAGAACAGTTACTGCTGCAAACGCCGGCGCCGCACACGCGCGCCTTCCCCACGCGCGGCGTCTCCCCCCCCCCCCCCCCCCCCTCTGACATCGCGCAATGCCGCGCGCTCTTCGGCGGCCACCTGCTGAAGATCGCCCCCACTGTCCTTATCAGTTGGACTTCAGACTTCACGTCCGAAGCAGTTCACCGCTAAATGTAGAGGGGAAAATGACATCAGATGACTTGATGTCACGTCACCTATGAAGAAATTCAGTTTTACCGCTAGATTTAGCGAGAAAATTAACATCACGTGACCTCAACGGTAATGCAATTGCCCGCTAAATTTGGCGGGGAATTGAATTGCTGTTGAGGTCACGTGGCGTCAGTTTTTTAGCTAAATTAGCCGGGAAACTGTGGGAGGAGGGGAGGGTATGTAAGAGGAGAAAAAAGCAGGGGAGAAGGAGGAGGGGCATACCCTCCCCTCCTCCTTAAAGGGCAACTCCGCTCAATTTCGAAAAATTTAGGCTTCCATGTGATTCACAAAGTAATACTCAACAACTCTACGTCTTCGGATTCGCGAAATGTGGAATAATATTTGTGTAATCCTAATTTAAACATCAGCAGATACCGAAACCGAAACTTCGGTTGCGTCAGGCAACATTGGTCTTGGGTCGTCACAGTCATGGGCACCTCACGTCGAACCACGTGGTCTTGTGACGTTCGGGAGGGAGCGAGAAACAGGACACGCAACGCAAACAGATCTTTTTTTTTTTTTTTTTTTTTTTTTTTTTTTTTGGACGTGGGCAGGTCGCTTTGCATGGCGTGGACGGTGATGGCCCGGGGGAGAGGGGGAAGGGGAGAAGACGAAAGAGGGGAAGGGGAGCGGAGAAACAGACCGATAAGCGCGCAGGGCAGCGGTGATCACGTGAACGCCCGGTCAGCCAACACCGGGAGGAGAAACTCATGACGTCATCGTTAAATTTCGCTCTGAAAAGTAAAAAGAAGCAAAACGTGAGAATGAAGTATGCATGCCTCTGACGTAGTGGTTCAACGTTGGCCGCTCCAACTCCGTGGCATTGACTGCGCTGATGATTGCGCCTCGCGCCGCACGCCTAGAGTTGGCAGATTTCGGCGACTTGGCTCGCTTGAAGGTTCGCTGGCCAGTTTATTAAATATATAGACGGAATTAGATCGTAATATTTGACATGGGGTCCTCCTATATGATACTGAAGAGGGCTACATAGTTTTCTAAATATCAAAAATGAAGCGGAGTTGCCCTTTAAGAGCTGCGCTCTAATTTTGCGTTACAAAAATTTATAAGCATCTTTCTTTTCTTTTTTTCAGGCGCTTCCGCGTTTTTGGTTACAGTTTCGAAATGTGTCATTTCTTCGTTTATCAAATGATTTAGCACATTTGGCGCCATGTTTCGCAAGCGAAGTGAATCGAAAGATGCCTGCTTTCTGTGTAAGGCGAAAAGAAAGATAAAATATGAAAGTGTCTACGAAATACGAAAAGAAACGTAAAAAAAAAACACACGGTGATTCGCTTAAGTCGATAACCTTGCGTTCCCTTGCTGACGTAATTTACCGACCGTTCTACTCGCTCTTACGAGACACAGTACCCCCATACGTTTTTCTTCTAAAATAAAGCAAAACGGTGTCAGCATTCCGTCGCTATCTTTATCAGATAAGGAACGTTCCTATTTAGACAAACAGTGACAGTGCATAGCGATGGCTAGTGAGCACGTGGCATCCAGGTCAAGCTTTTTATTCATGTTTGTTTGTTGTGACAATACAGTATTTATACTCGCTGTTAGAACGAATAAACTTCAGTTGTAAGTCAGCGCCTTGTTTGTCTGCCGTCTTGTTCTTGTCCGTGTCCTTGCGCTGTTTTAATCTTTAATCATGAAATACCAACTAGCCCAAACTTCTACTTTAAAATAAAGCAATTTGTTGTTGTTTTAGGGGGGGGGGGGGGGGGGGGGTGCGTTTTCTAAGTTACAGCAAAGTTGCGACTTCGCGGTATGTTTATGTCCTGTTTTTTTTCTTCCTGATGCATATTTTAGCTAGCTCTTTTTTTCTTTTTTTTCTTTTTTTTTTTTTTTTTTTGCCGCGGCGAGTGGGGCTTTTCCTGCGGTGCTTGGGTGCATGCGGCAAAGCCTCCTTTAGGGACCGGCTCCGCGACAATATCGAGGGGGGAAGCGCACTTACGGGACGCTCCTGCCAGCGAACAGGAACGAAATCGATGCGAAAACAGGGAGCGGGAGAACGGCTTCTTTTCCATCTCGTTTTGCGGGGAACACTCCCCACCTTCACCGCGAACGAGTTTGTATTTTTTTTCTGCAAAATTGCGTGCCTGACGGTGAAGTCTCTAGGAGGCTGAAGAGTTGCTAACACGCCCAGAGGAGAGTTGGAATGGTGGTACGGGAAGGTCGACGTTGAGCAAACAGCGGGGGTGAGTGGGAGGGGTGTGATGTTTGCGCCGTTTTGGGACCCTCGGGGCATTTTTACAGCCTGTTGGGTGACGCGATAGTGTCTACGGGTGTGTTTAGGAGGACGGTGTATCCCCCCCCCCCCCCCCCCCCCCCCCCCCACTCTGCCTCTTTTTTTTTTTATGTGCTCGAGATGTTTTTAGGGGTGCGACGCTCTTGCAGGCGTGTTGGCTCTCCTGTCGCCTCAACGGGTTCAGCTGGCCTTTTAACCTCAATGTTGCAATTCTTTTTTTAATTTTTCTTTTTATGGTTTGGAGAATTTAGGAGTTGCTGGACTCGTTCAGGTGATGTTGAAAATGTGAGAAGGGGTAGATAATTGGGCTAGTCTCTCTTCCCTCTACGTGTGCGGTAATACCGTTTAGATGTTGAAATTTGAGATTTGGAACGAGGGTGCGTTTTAGAGTTGAGAACAGCATGGTAGTCTACACTTTTTTTTTCTCTGCATAGGTCATCCCAATTTTAAAAGGAGTACTTATTAATTTTTACCGGTTGACTAACTTAACGAACATGTGTTTGAAGCACTTGTTTTCTTTTTTATCTGTTGTGGCATTGAGATTAGTAACACAGTTTTGCCCTCTGTAATTCCATTTTCTTCTTTTTTATATTTTTTATTTTTATTTTCAGAGAATGACACGTCCACATCTAGGTAAGTGAGCCTTTTTTTTTTTTTTCGAGAGAGAGAGATTATGATGCATTATGGTTTTCTAAAACCAAATGCAAATCAGTATGGAAGTATATATGCATAGGTGGGTTTTCCCTTTGCAAAAGCATAGTTAGTAGAGATGTTTGTTTAAGAGTAAAAATACCTCATATATGTAAGTGTTGTAAAAGCATTTTTAATTGGAGGAGCCTAACTTAGTACTTTCCCTCTAAGTTAGAATTTTTTGGGGGGGGGGGGGGGGGGGGGGGGGGGAATAAATTTTAATTTTTGTGCTATAATTATATTATATACATGTGAAAGCAAACATCGCACATTAACTCTGCTGTTAGATTTCCTGCGCTCATAGGAGTGTTGGAGGTACTTTAATATTAGCTTTCACGTTTCTCTAAACAAAAATAAAAGGCTGCTCCAAACATGGCTGATCTGCTACACTGGATAGACTCTAAAGGTGCCATTTTCACCCTCGTCTGTGAAAGCCTCTAAACTGAAAACTTTGGGCTACTAAACAAAGTGGATTTTTTTTTTTTTTTTGGTGGAAGGGCATTTTTTTTTTCCCTTTGATTCGGTGTTGGGCAAAAAGTCTGTGTTTATCGGAACTTATGTCGAAGAAAACGGGGCACGGGCATAGGATTTCCCTACCTCCAAGAAACCTGGGCACTACCCGGACACTTGGAAATTGTATGGGTGCATGCGAGAGAAAGAAGCGGAATTGTGGATTGTTTGTTGCAGGCCGTGTTCTTGGGCGACACAAACTAATGCTGTAGGTAAAGACTTCTTCCCTAGAAGTTTGTGTTTTTGTTATTCAAAGGCAGCTCCAAGCTAAGGGGCTACCTTTCGGACCTTAGAGGGATATGGGTGTTTCACAAAATGCAAGCGAAATCGTTCCTGCAAAAAATATGCATCGCTCAGAGAAAAGGGCGATGCCGTAGTGGTCTCTGCCAAAGATCCCGTTTAAGGAAAATTACCAGCGTTCAGTATAATTGCATCATTAATTACTTTTCAGTAGTTAGATTTTTAACTGAAAATTTTAAAGGTGTGGTTTCAATTAGATACTTGGTGCGAATCGTCGAAACATGCTAAATCCACCCACGTTACAATCATACAAGGCACGCGCAGTGTTTTACGGCGTTCAGGAAAATGGCTCGATTTGTGCACGCTTCCAGGTTTGTTTCTCGTCAGAGCGCATTTTAGCGTCAGCAATTCGGCTCCCCGTGGCCAAAACATGCAACGTGCATGCACCGCCATGCATTGCACATAGAAGAGGTTAGATAAGAAAACCTCCGGGCTGCCACATGAGGTTTGCCTTCTTGACATCGATGCCAATGTGAACACACACCCCTAATGGAGTCTTCGATGATTCGCATCAAGTTTCTAATTGACACAATACCTTCACAATTATTATTAAATCAATATTTAATTACTGAAGAGTAACTATCGACCTTATTATGCCGAACGCTAGTCGTTTTCCTTAATGGGCCTTTTGGCAGAGACCGCTACAACATTATCATTTTGTCTGTGCGATGTCTATTTTTCGCAGGAATGATTTGGCTCACGTTTCGTGAAAAACCCCATGCACCAAACACGGGGAACCCTATAGTCGGTTACAGGTTAAGAAGGTAGCGGCAAATGCCCCTCAAAGGGAGTCATATATCCCTCCGCCACCTCCGCATCCAGTAGTGTCCCATCGTTTCCGTGACGTCGCGGCCAACGCGCGAGGAGCGTCTTGCCTTTCTGTACACATTTGCTTTATCTTTCGACTTTGACTTAGCATTGTGGAAGCCACGAGAGGGAGATTAGAGTTTTTCCCCTTTGATGGAAACAAGTACGACTTTCGGGGATTAGCTTCCCCCTCCAATGGATACAAAGGCCGCTTTCAGGGGCTAGGTTCTCCCTCCAATGAATGCAAACGTCGCTTTCTTAAAAAGTGGGATCGGACACAAGTTGGAATCCATTGAAGCGGAACAAGGAGCGTTCCCCGTGAACTCTTCTCTCGACTGCGGAGAGATTTGAAACGGGCGCATCACGCTTGTGGGAGGAGCTTCTCCTACCTTCTTGACTTGTTACCGACTATAGCTACAAGTAGATGCTGAAGCGTCGGTCTCGACAACGGCTGCAAGTGGGCTGAGGGGGCTAATCTTTGGTTGTCCGTACTCTCAGCGAGGAGACACAGCCTGGCGACGGAGGTGGAGCACTGTCCCAAGTGGTGATGTCCCTAAGGGAGCGGGTACGGCAGCTGGAGCAGCAGCACCAGAGCGCAAACCTGACAAAGTGTCTCATCTGCATGGTGAGTTGCTACAGTGTACTCTCGGCAACAGGTTGTACCTGCCAGGAATTCGACTCGGATTCCTGGCGAGAGAGAGTGCTTTCCCGACTGTCGATCGGACGCAACGCCACGTCTCTTTGCTGCGAGACTGTCGTCGACCAATGAGAAATTTTCAATCCCTTTGAGAGTCTATGGCTGGACGATGAACCTTTCGCTAAATTACCGAAGCACCAAGGATCATGCTTGCGAGTGCGGCGGTGCCTGCAGCCGTAGCTTTTCAAAAGCAGAAATGGAGAGCGAGCGGCTTTTTGCGAACATGATTTTGTCAATGCCTCTTTTTGGTTATTTACTCAATGTCTTTCATACCCACAAGGTGAGCTCGTGCAGCACACCTACCTATGTTCCCAGCATTTCTCTTGGTGCTTGGACAGTTTGGCAGAAGGTCTATACTTCGATGAGAGCTTCTTGCCTACGTACAAGCGGTAAGAGAGGTGTCGCAGCCATGAATGTACAACGAGTCCTCAAGTCCATGTAGCGTTTTTTTTTCACCCCAGAAGTGAAGTACCCATCGCCAAATGCAGCTCTAGGGGTCTGAACCAGATACCAAAGTTTCAGAACTAACCGTTATCTTATTCATAAGTTACAAGTGATCTTCCGAAACTTTGAACGGGGAAATGGAACCCGTTCTGGGCGGTTTGCTCCATTCAGCCCCATGTACTCGTGGGCTTTGTCGGCCGCCATTTCACCGTTGAAAATTTCTGAAAATTGCCTTCAGCTTTTGAATAAGATAATGGTCTGTTCTGAAGCTTTCGCATCTGGTTCAGGCCACTAGAGCTACATTTGGGTGGAAGCCGAGCATTTGATGACCCATAGTTGTTTTTTTGCAATAAGAAAGACACTTTTGTTCTACACATATTTGTTTTAAGTGTTCCTTGTTTCACCAGTGAATGTCCATTTGCAAACGCCAGTAACAATCTACTCAACATTTTCAAACGAAGGCCAAGTTGTCGATTGCCCTTGTCTTGAAATAGCAGACGTTCACAATTTAACTAACCCCTGGGATCTTCCTATACCTCTCATTGGACTCCAATTGCAGACTGTAGTGCCAAATCTCCCCTTACGGGCATTGGGTTTCTCCAAAAACAATAAAACATCAAACAAAAATATGGGCACCGTTGTCATGGCAATTGTTATGCCATGGGAGAGGGTGTGGGGAGTGTTGTCCCACCTCTCTTCTCCCTCCTCCCCTCTCTTTCACCTTTTTGAAAAAACCGGAGACGATAGATAAAGAAGCGGACAAACACGAAACGTCTCAACTTTTCAGACATTTTGTTTGTCCCGTTCTTCGTCGTCGTCTCCATTTCTTTTTTTTAAATGTGCAACATCGACCAGCTCGCCTGTTTACACTCTTCCCTCGTGTGTTTACCTTTTTCTGCAAATCTCCGATGCTCCCACTTGACTTTGCGTCACTCGATTGAGATCGGCTCGGTAACAGCAGGAACAGTACATGCGCGGTGATAGCCACTTGAGCTTGTCATTAAACCGTAAGTCAATGAATGCAAAGTGCGCCCAACCACCGGTGTTTTGCGGCTTAAGCCGGGCGACCTTCGTTCGAGTACAAGTCCAAATTTCTTTTGCAAGCAAGGTCTCTTTTTATTAGGCACTCTTTATACAGAAAAAGTAACTTCACGGCACAGCAATTAAAGGAACCAAATCTACACAAAAGTGATTAGACGAGCACGTTGCTCATCCAGATTAACAGGGGCAGGAGTGGAGATTGAACCCAGGATCCCCGAGTTCTGCAGCACATGCTTTCCGTCTACATGCTTCAGATTGCAGTGCGCTAACGTACTCAACCACTGATCTAGAACTCCCCTAAGCTTTAGAGTATCCGAAACTGCATAAGGTCCGAAAGAAGGAAGCGGCCCTTTACTTACCTTTCATCCTTAGGGAACCGAAATAACTTGAGAGCTCTCGGCACCGGAATTGGAACACCATTGTGCTGAGCGATAGGCGTGGTGACATGCTTTCGGCATACCGGCAGACGAAATAGATGAATAAACAACAGGCAAACGTCAATGCGCCCGCTGCCTCAAAACGAAAGTACGGCTACCACACGTATGCTCCCGCTCAAGCCAACTCGAGCAGCCGACACCACCAACACCTCGACGGGCCAATTGCGCAACAACTCTCCAAATACACACACAAAAAAAAAAAAGAAAGACCAATGAGAACACAAACTGTGAAGACCGAAAGTTCTTAAGCAAGTACCAACAGATAAGAGATGGCACTTAAATGGCAGACCAGAAGTCGCTCGAAGATTCCGGGGGTTGATTTAACCCCGCGTTCGATCTTTTTGCCGTGGGACACACTTGGCAGCAGACGATCCAACTTTCTCGGTTTATTCGTCTACTACCAAGCACGAAAGCAGTTGTTTGAATAGGTGCTACATCTGGTCTAACCTTAACATGCACATACCAAATAAGCGTGAGACTTTGCATTTGATCGTGCCTCTGCTGCATGGACGTTCCTGCAGCGATGGCACCAGTTAAAGCTGCCCGCCCACGCTTTCCGTGTTAGTTTGAGACAAAGTGCAACGGTTCAAGGTCGAGGAACGAAATAGATTTAACAATACCGCCGTCTTTATCCCATGCCAGGAGCCGTACACAGTTCCTGTGGTGTCCGTCTGTTGCTGGCACGTTCACTGCCAGGACTGCTGGCTCAAGACCCTGGTAAGAATGCAGAGTCCATTGCAGAAAACTCAAATTATATTCGGTTGAATATCGTTGAGATACGATTGCCGCCGATAACAATTAAAGCTTCCTGAAGGTACCTGTAATTCTAGCATACACAATGCACGCTAACCAGCTTTCATAACAGAATGTGCAAATGGGCTAGTTGATACTGAATGACCACGTAAAAGTGATAAAAAAAAAAAAAAAAATGGGACAAAGACGCGCTTTGTTTTTGTTTTCTTAACTTCTTTGTCCTAGTTATTTTTTATTTATTTCTTTACTTTTACTTAATAACTACTAGTTTTGTTTTTTTTATGGCTAAACTAGACAACTTTTTACACTTCCTTTTATTCGCGACTCCAGCAAAACGGACGCCGCCAAGCGGGAAAACCGGGAACCAGCCGGTCCAGGTCGCTCCGCGCCCCTCCGCGTCTCTGGTGGCTTTCGCGGGGAACTTGTCAGCGCGGTGGCGAACAATGTAATTTGACGAAGGTCCGAATAATTCTTAAGTTTGCCTGAGTGATCATTAGTGTGGTGAAGCCTCAGTAGATTGTTTTCTTCTATTATATATATCTATCAAATATCCTATTGCCATCTCGTTTGGGGCACGACCACAAGGACAAATCTGAACAGAATATTATTACTACAAAAAAAAGTTTTGCGCTTTGTTGGAAACGTTCATTTCTTAGCCCACACAGAGGCTCTATTTTCACGATACAAAATTATAAATATACATTGTTTTTATGAGTACCTTTTGACTCGATCATTTCTTTTTTCTTCCCCTGAATCTATTAATTTTCTGAAACAGACATTGGGATTAATCAAAAACATACCCACCATCTGCACCCGCTACTCCGAGGAATGGAAAGTGTTTCCGTTTCGCACGAACTACAGTTACCAGTCTTTAAAACATAATCTACCCTCATTGCTAAACAAATATTGCGTAGATGACGTGGACATCTACAATATAAACCCTAAGTCATTGTACTTACTTTTTGTATAGAGCTGTTTTCGTTAACCTGTGAAACCTAGGTCTCTTTTATATATGTATTTTACGTATTGCTGTAATCTCTGCAGTTATTTTTGTATCGCCATAGCTGTCTGCCAAGTGCACAGGGCCCGGACCCCGTCAAGTCAACATTTGTTGACTTTTTGTCCGTGTCTCCGGCGTCTGTAACCCATACGGATGCAAAAATAAAAATTATTATTATTATTATTATTATTATTATTATTACGTGTTTGAAAGCCCGTTTACGCCACAGCACACGGTCGCGTGCTTTCGATTTCTTGGATGGGGAGGAATCACGGAAAAACTTTTTGATTTCTTGTCTGTCTCGAATATCATTCAAAGTGACGACTGCTTGGTAACTGATACTGGAGGGAACATCAATGTTGCAGTCAAGTGAATGGGAAGGTTCGATAGCTGCTTTTCTTGAGTTTGGTTGTGTTCGGTTAGCTTCAAGTTTGAGCCACCCACGCCGGTCGGTGCGTTGGCTATTCATCTTGGCTGCTTTTCGCCGAAAAAGCCTCTGGATCACACTGAAGGAGTTGGGCTGATTTCGCAATTACTTGATTCAGGAAAACTTGCTCGCTGCAAATGATGAATGAAGGAAATTATCTGTTTTCAAAAGGTGGGAGACAAGTCTCGCAACGTTAGATGCTGTCACGGCATTTTGACCTATGGCGCCTTCAATATTTATATTACGAGGACGTCGAAGCCAGCAGCAATACACGTCTACATTGGTCGAAGCAAAGTTCAATTCAGAGAGGTTCTGCGTGGATCTTCAATGAAGACTCTCTTCAGTTTGTCTCCGTGCTGGCGGCTATAGAACCATTTGGCTAAGTTTAAGTAGTATGTCTCCGTCTGTCAAATATACTTTTATTCAGCAGCTCACCTAATAGATAGTCAACTAAGCTCATATTTCAACCCGAAGGATATACTAAAATCGCTTTAGTGGGACCATGTACATAATATAATACATAACCCGCTCGTCAAAATGACTTCTCGATTGCTACTAAAACTTGAATTGAAATACGAGTATCAGCTGCTTAGTGGGGCGCCGGCGGGTTAACATGGTCCTTGGCTTAAGAAGCGGTTGCTTAATTTTTGTAATTTTCCTGCAGCCTGTGTTGTTGGCCGAGCAGACGACTGGAGCTGTTTCGTTAATGCGGATACGCAAAAAAGCTCGATTTCGCGGACAGATAAGTCGCATGGTCGAGGCATGCGAGTTAGCTGAAAAGTTACTCTCTGTGGAACAATTCTATAGTCATCGCCGCTTTCCTTAGATGATCAAAACTGATTATTATATTACCGTCTCTCCGGAGCCCATAGTTTCGGTTTTGAACGAAATCTCCGAAACGAAAGTTTGACACGAAAAGAACAAAAAAACACCGGCAAAACAAAACTACGCTTTGCAAGTTTATCGCACCGGCTACACTTAACCGTCTCAGTTCAAAAACCTATAAAATTGGGCATTAAACAAAAGAAAATCTGTTAAATTGAACGCGCCACCTGTTCAGGCGGCCCGGCCGAGCCGCCGCGACCTGGACTCAGCCGCCATGTTTGTTTGGTGGTGGCGCCCCCTATAGGTCGCTGGAGTCGCGAATATAGGGCCAACAAGTTGTAAAATCAATTGTCATTGCTCTTGTTCCTCAGAAAGTCATTCTAATGCGGGTTATATTGAGAGTTCAAAAAGGTTGCCGCTCTTCTGAAGCAGGCAGGCGTCGACATGTTTTGGCACACATTCTGCATGATCAGAGGAGACATTTGATGGAAGTGTCATTGACATGCACATCAGTTTCGTGATGGACCGCATCGTCGAATTTACAGGGTGCCAAGAAGTTGTGCCCCCAGTGCAACTCCATCACAGCCGCGGCAGACTTGCGGAGAATCTACCTCTGAGGACACACCGTCACCTGGAACCCTAAACGTTTGGAACGTCTTCCACAAGTGCCTCGTTCCAGCCAACATCATGCCACGTCCGGAATCAACCCCAGCACGGACACACCACCATCCGATCCCGATCGGGACCTTGTACTTCATCCAGCCGATCAGGACTTTGTGCTTTAGCCAGCCGATTACGATTAAGACTTCGTGCTTTATTGAGTCTCGTTACGACGACGTATCGAATTTGTGGCTCGGCTGGTGCGCAACGATTTGCTCCACAGCTTCCGCGAGGTTGGCAACAATGGCATCGGGCTTCACGGTGGGGTGGCTGTCGTCGGAAGGCCTGCAGTGAAAAGCGGCGCGCGGTTACTTCTGTGCGGCGGGGCTGGTACCTGCGCACGGCGGTGACGTACCGGTACTTTCCGGTGCGCACAAGGACTCCGCGGAAACCCACGCTCTGAGCCGCGCCCACGTCGCTCGAGATGTCGTCGCCAATCATGACGACCTCGTCGGCGCGGAGGTGCATGTCTTCGAGGGCCATGTTGAAGAACTGCTCACTGGGCTTGCCGATCACGATGGCCCGGCGCTCACAGGCACTCTACGCAAGGTGGGACAAAGAGAAGAGGACGGGGACATGGTTCCCCCAACAATCCGAAAATCCAAAGCACCGGATTTGTTTTTACCCCATTCCTCTTATTCTCACCACTTTTGAGTTTAGGATGTTGCGTTTCTCACGGGTTGCCCGACTTCTTACAAAGGGCTTTCCGAGACACAGACGCACTCGAAAACAAGCGGCTTGCATGCGCTGCCATCTTTGGGTGGCCAAGGTATGGAAATTATTTTTGTCCAGCGTGGCATGGTACAGCCTCCCCCAAAGTAAATAACTTTAACTTAACTTGCAAAGTTTGTTATTGAATGTCGCCTCTCTTTCTTTTACAGCAATGTTGCCAAGGGCCTTCCAGTATTTGCCCTACTTTACGAATTGTGTGCGCATGTTTAGCGCACAGAGGCTGAAGATTCTACGACTTTCGAGTCTGCTTTGGCAGCATTTGCTGCGGCGGGGGCTGTACAATGTGGCTGTCGATCAGTCACACACTCTATCGTGGACGGAAAACGGAAAGATTCGTGCTCCCGCCAAGGTGGCCACGTTGGTGTGTTACGAACGCGTAAACTGTGAACTTTCCAGGCATCTCCCAGCTGCATGCTGGTTTGTAAACAGTGTATCTCTACTCTGTATAGTTCTTCCAAATTAAAGTGCGGAGTTGCAGGTACTGCCACGCTGGCGTACGCTGCCTCGCTAATCCGACTGGATGTCTAGAACTTCTCTTTGATCGGGGACAGTTCTCCAAAGCATTGCCAACTCCTGTCTCGGAAACGACCCACTCGTGGTTCCGTTTTACTAAGAGCGGCTAACACCAAATTTTACCTGCACCGGCCTACATTGATGCAGAAAAGTATGGCGTGGCGCAGAAAAGCGGAAACGAAGTGAATGGCCTGTCATGCAAAGAATAGTGAATGCCTTTTTCACCACAAAAGTAAACTATGTGTCTCCGGGTGCTTGGTCTTTGCCCATACGTAGTACTAACGGCCAGAACCGGATGCCGAGTTTCGGCGCTTGCCGTTACCTTGTTCAGAAGCTAGGAGCGGTTTTCTGAAACCTTGGAAGGGAAAACGGCGCCAATTCCTGGTAGCTGGCATTAGAGGTCTGCATGGGTACGGGCCGGCCCCTGACCCCCGGGTTCGGGCTTCACAGCTACATTCATGAAGGGCTTGGGCCTTGCATTCGACTCTACAATGCAAACCAAGCCGGCATTTACTTCTTTCATTAGCAGCAGTGTTTCTGGAAGTTTGTTTGGGACATTGGGGGTGGGACCATGGTGGGGGAGACCCAGATGCTGAAAGCATGTGTGTGTGTGTGTGTGTTTGTAAGCGTTTTTGTACGGTTCAATATGTGTGTGCAGTGAATGCCCTTCCAAAGCGCCAGCGGCGCGGCGTTGGTTTTTGTCGCTGGTGGCGCTGCCGTCGTACAGTCGCTTCTCCCCGTCGACACGCGCATATCTGCGCCTACACAATGCGCACCCTCGCAGGCGTAAAGCAGCTGTACCTACGAGTGCGTGTGCTGACAATGTGGGAGAAGAGGTTTTTCCGAGGGAATGGTTTTCCCAAACGATTTCTCGCAGACCACCGCAAGAGACAGCGGTATTTTTTATAATTTTCTTTCTTCGGTTGTATGCAGCAGAAGTGGACGATTTAAAACTTTGCCCGGCCTTTGTCCGGACACACTGAGACGTTTTTCTTTTGCAATTTGACATGTGGCTTTGTTCACTGCTCCCTGGCATTTTTATCTTTCCATCCTTTTTGATACGCGGGTTTGGTCGCAAAAAAAAGGATGATGGGGGCGATTTTTTTTTAATGAGTTGCCTAGGCCTGCAGATTGGTCCGACAAATTGACGATCAGGTACTGTAGTCAACGTGTGTAGCAGTGGCAAGTGAGCTGCCATGCTGCACAATGGACCTTTTTCCAGTAAGCGTCTGCGCACGCGCACACCCTTTCCACTTGACCTTGACCACCCTTTTGCCATTTTTGGGGGGCACTGTTTTCTTGCGACACTAATCTGTTTCCATGGGAGAAGGCGAGTCCGGTTGCCCTCCATTTGTAGTAGGCGGCGAAACCGTCATGGGGCACTCCTTACTGCAAAAAGGTCCATTTGTGAGCTCCTCGTAGTGGGCGATATAGAGTTGGCCTCGGCGGACCTGTGAAAATTGGCATAGGGCCGGGCCGGCTGTCAGAAATGGATAGCGGGGCAGGTCTGAGCCGAAAAGACAGCGGGCCGGGATTCTAAATATCGGCCCACGCAGACCTCTAGCCAACGCTATTCATCTCCAAGTGCCCGCGGGTTTTGTGGCTGTCATTTTCCCGTCAAAAATTTTTAAAAAATTGCTTAAAACATTTTAGTTAGATAACGACAAGCTCTCCAACGTTGGCGTCTGGTCCAGACTGCCGGCGCTACGTTAGGCCGTAACTGAGCGGTCGGTAATGCACAGTTTATATTCGCAATAAAAATTTAAAAAAAAAAAATTGTTTTTTTTTTAAACGGCGTAGCAACAAGTATGCCACAAGGACGACGGGAATTTCACTTGCCTCCAGTGCAACCGCAAAAGGTCCTACGTCTAGCACCAATTCACCGTGCTCCCTGTAGAACTTCCTGTAAACGAAAACAGAAAGCATGTTTGAGGCCACGCTTGTAGAGAAGAGCAGGTTCTGTCCCTCAAGGAAAAAGCTCTGCCAACACTGCCCAGAGGTATTGGTGGGAGAGGGAACATTGCCACTTTGGTTCATCGGTGGCCTGAACCCATTTTGCTCTTTGCCCTTCTACTGAATGTTTGTTGATGTCGCTAACGTTTGGCCGATTCGCCAGTTACATTTTTCTCGGGTAAATTCCTTCTTTGCAAATTTTATAGAAAAAATGCACTACCTGTGGGCAAAGCTGCACAAAATCGTAGTGTGATAGGTTAAGCAATTGATTTCTGCGTTTGATTTAAAGAGTTTCTGATAAGGAAAGACGAACAGACAACACAGGCTTTGGACTTTCAACAGAACATTTGCTGGCTTGACTTCGCTTCCAGAAGCTTGACGGGGGCTTCGGGGAGGTGGAGAGGGAGGGTGGAAGGTGAGAGAAGCGTGAGCCATGGGGCCCTGCCCACGGCTATGCATGCACGGCGGAAGGTGGGGGTCTGCTCTGTGTCATTCGACACGTCACCATTACACAGAGCCCAGATAGCCTCTAAGCCCCGAGCGCCGGTGGTGTCCTCTTGGGGAAGGAAGGGAATTTTGCGGGAATTTTGACTTCAATTATGTCTTTGGAGGAGCCCTCTCTCCTTGCAGAAGCGAATTTCTTGATTGGAAAAAGAAAGGGACGGGTTGGACAGGTTTGAGACAGAAGACTTGATATGTACAGACTCGGGGATTTCCCTGCCAAATCGAGATTTGTGCGCCCCGAGAATTTTGGTTTTCAAGAACTCGGGGGTGCACGAGGGACAGTTTTTGGCGTGAGTCACGACCGAATAGAAAGAGTCCGGACAAGGAGACGAGATTTCCTCGGTGTGCTCACGGAGACGGTCATTCACGCAGTGCCCCGTCTGACCGATGTGCTCGGCCCCGCACGCAAGAGCAATACTATACACCTCCCTTGTGCGGGGCCGGAAGCCCTGCACATGTTTTTTTGTGCATCTGGGTGCGGGTTCTGGGTTGGTGACTCGCTTGCACATGCCTCCCATTTTAAGTTTACGTGTGAAAAGAACTCTGGTGCCAAATCGATGAGCAAGCATGCACAGTCGGTGTGTTGTGTTGTGGGAGTAAGTGATGCATGCAGGGTGGGTAGACGGGGTCCTGGAGGGGGCCTCCTTTGGGCGGCTCTTAGACTGCAGGATGAGTTTCTTGCTGATGTTATCTAGGAGGCCCACTGGGTAACCCGCCCTCCCTCCGGAGCTGTGGCTTGCAGTGACAGGCTCCCTCTGATCTTGTGATCGCAGGACTTTTTGCAAGAGGAGAGAAGGAGATATTGAACAATTCCGGACTTAACACTATTTGAGACACTCTCTACATTATATTTCAACATGGCAACCATCACACGAAAGCATTCTAGAGTAGTCGTGTTGCAGGTTAAGGAAAGTAGGACATGTGCCTCTCACAAAGCACTCCACTCTCTCCACTTCAGCAGAACAAATGCAGGAGAAGGGGAAACCGTCAATTAGGCAAGCAGGGAGCTTTATGAGAGGATCGATTGTCCTGCTTTCCTTAATCTGGAATAACAATTAGTTCTCACCCTTTGCCGAGTGACATCAAGACTGCTTCTGGATTGCCAATGAGCACCCGGAAAGCTTGGTTCAACCTCTCGTAAGTCATGTGAACACCGGCGTCTCCAAGTACGACACAGTTGGGGTTTGAAGTGTCGCAGCCGTGGAACTCCGACTCCACGTCTGCATGGTCGAGTCATTAAAATGCGGGGACAGAAAACATCTTTAGGTAAGTCAACCTCTGTGCGGTTGTTTATGTACGCCATAGGTTGTCGTTTTGGTCACGTGATCCCTTAGGCCAGCCAATAGGAGTGAGGTGGTACCCGCGAGGGAGGCAGCCCTACGTTTTTAGCGTTAAAAAAACACCCTGAAAGACCCGACTTATGCACTTACTCGGGTGAACAAGCAGGTAGGGGCGGTACCCGAATTCCTGGACGAGTTTCTTGGCCGCGGGCACGCACATGAATATGTCATTCTCGTAGACATCGAAACCAATCCGATGCAAGAGGCTGAGCAGCTGAGCTTTCGTCCTCTGCGTCTCGTTCGTGATGAAGCGGAACGGTATTTTCGACGTGCGTAGCCTGTAAAAGTATGGTTTGTGTCTACAATAGATCACGTCGGCATTTCGTAGTTTTACGAAGTGCGTGCATAACACTGCATGCATACATCTTCACGGCTTCTACGGAGCCTGCGATGGCTTTGGTGTCTCCGCTCTCGTAGAGGACGCCACAGATGTCGAGCAGGAGTCCTCTGATGGGCTTCTTCAACCATGGCAGCATATTTGCACAGATATCTGATTCTATTTAGTTCAAACTGGTCTTACGACAAGCTCCAGTGACTTTGAAAAAGCTTTACTCCTTTGAAAAGAAGTGATGGAAGTGATGCAGCCGATGCAGATGCAGACGCCGCCGCAGGCGCAGACGCGCAGACCGCTGTGGTATGGTGTACTAGAAGACTGGGCAGTGTAGCGAGCGCCGGCGGAGAGGTGGCTCTTTCAGCGATGACCGGATCGGTGGCCGCGAGAGGGCGCAACGTGTAGTAGGCGTGCTGCCGGAGTGCAGAGCGCAGGCAGCGGTAGCGCTTGGCTGGCGTGGCGTTCCGCACGGGTTCGATTGTTTCGTATTGTTTGGCTAACTCTTTACGGTATTCTTTATTTCTGCTGTTTCACATATTATTTATCGCACTAGTTCGTTGCCAAATGCTTTGCCCGAGACGTGCATCTTCGGGCAGGACGCCACAGTAAACATCCCGACACTGCTAGCGCGAACAAGACATCGGCGCTTTCTCGGATTTACTTCGAAAGAGTATTAGTGAGGACGAACTTTTAGCACCTGCATTATAGACCCGAATGAGCTTTTTCCCCAGCAGTTAGAACTTTGCTGAGATCCTTTGGTTTCTCATAGAAAAACTGGCGATCGCTTGTTCGCACTAATAATGTTGCGTTCTGAATAGGCGGGAAATCCATCCCCCAGGGAAACGTTTGGGAAGTCTCTTGTAAGAGACGTCCCAAACGTGTGTAATCCCCTGGATAACGTAGGATAAGCATGCTGATGGCATGATACCTAAACAAATGTGTGCTTTTGTGAACCTATAATTTCGCTGTCACTGTAGTTGTGATCGGCTCCATATCACATGAGCGAATGACATTTTAGCGAACAGCGACATTTGAGCGAATCGACGTTTTAGCGAATAACGGGGGCGCGCGTTAACCCATCCGCCGCGCCGCGCTTTACGCCACTTCGCCGGCGACAGTCTGCGGCTGCTCATTACAAAAATGTGAATTCATTTGGTCCACCCGAAAACGCCGCTTCGCGGCGTCCGACTCTTCGCAGTTGTGATCAATGAATTCCGTGGTTGAAGCGCACTACCCTAATGAATTAACGTTTGGGAAAACAAAATGGGGCTTACAAAACGGATTATATCGTCTACTTCCGTAGGCTGCATGTGATGGAGGTGCCACTGTCGACTCTCGCAACTACCTCCACGGGCTTTCGAAGGAATTTCCAGCACTAGCTTTTATCGTGTTTGCTGTTACTACGTAGGGTTTTCATACAGGACTGTGCGAGTAGTTAGAAAAATGTATCCACTCACCAGCTCTGATAGTAACCACAGTGGATAAATTCTTATTTATCCACTGAGCACCAGCTATATTGATATGTGGGCACCAGGGCGCACAGATACATTTTTAATTATACACTGGGCACCAGCCACTAGCGCACTGATGAGATTAATGAGGTGCTTCCCAAGGATTCCGGAGGCGACGGTACTTGCTTTTCCGAAGAGCTCGGGAGAGGGGGGCTCCCGAGCTCCCCCGCAGTCGGCGCCTGTGGCGTTTTGTACCTCTACATTCTCCAACGTGAGGTCATGATCTTGATGAGCTTTGACATCTTCAGGATAAATTACTCAGTATCTTCCGCTGGGCCATAAGACCCTTCAATTTACTTGCGGTAAAAAAAGAGGCCTCTTAGCACCTCCTCATTGAAGAGACGGAGTGCTGGGCCAACCCTCATCTTTTTAAAGCTGTTAGGAAAAAAAAAATGATTTGCTGATGTGAGGCCATAACCTTTAACGTCACATTTTCACAATCACTTCTCCAAGCCTTTCTAATGCAGTCAGCGTGCACAGGACCCTTCGGTGTGTTCAAACCAGTGTCTATAAAACCGATTTAGCATATACTTTAGAGTGCAAAAAGTCCGAAAAAATATGTAGAGGACGACTGTCATGACTGCCTGCATTACATGAAGCAGAGTCTCCCTGTCACTCCTTTTAATGTTGCGGGACGACGACTGACGCCGATCGAACTCGCGAGGGGCACGAAAAAGGGAACGGGCTTCTTTGCAGGACCGGTAGCCACTGTTGCAAGTCCCGGCACGGGCCCCAGGAATTGAGGTTAGGGAGGGGGGTTTGGGGGGGGGGGGCATTGAGAATATAAGAGTCGTTGCGAATTAAAGGGGTGCTTTCGGAAAAACAAGGGGGAAGTACACCCCCGTAGAGGGGTGTAGGGAAGTCACTGCCCCGACACAAAACACGTCCCGTCTCTCTTGTCCCGACGTTTTTCCGTCATTGCACGCGTTGTCTACATCCCACTGAACGGCACCGATCACAATCCATTTCACTCAACCATTAAAAAAAAAAAAACTGCAGCAAAACAAGGCGACGACGCGAACCACGCCGATCACAAGCAGTACGACCACACGGCAATCCAAGTGGGAAGGAGCACGCCTGTTACCCGCAGCGCCCCCTGGCGTCCTTGCGCGCCGTCATCGCTGTGCCGACCTCCTCCCTCCGTTGCTTCTCGGCGCGGACGACACACTGCCCAGTTCTAGTACACCATAGCTGTGGCGCGTTCTACAATAGAGATCAGTTTTTTGTGCGAGCCATAGAGTTATTATCAGTGGTTATTATAATGTACATTATAATAACTCTAAGGTGCGAGCAAGTCCCAAGCTTCGATCGCGGGCATAAAATTTCGCACATTTCGCGGGGACGCTGAAAGGGCTGAAAGCCTGATGAATCCAGCCAAGCCAAGCCGAGCCCGCGGGCGGCGACATGGCGCACAGACATGGCGTGCGGTTGGCGCGGGTGGTACCACAGACCACAGTGGGTGGTACGGGACTCGGGAGGAGTTGGTGGAGTGGCAGCGGTAGCGGGCTGCCGTGCCAGGGGCGTGGGGGTGTCCTTCTCCTTGCTTTCTAAACCTATTTTCCCAGAAAGTGTGCGTGGCGAGCGTGAAAGCCTGCCCAAAAGTGTCGGGTGGCTCATCATGCCGTCGTTCTGCTCGGCGGTCGGCTGTCGGAACACCGGCGGACGCGACGATGTAGTTTTCCACCACTTCCCGCGACAAAAGCAGCTCTTAGCTCAGTGGGTCTCTGCAGTAAAGAGAGCCAACTTCACGCCCTCACCAACAGCTGTGCTTTGTTCCGATCATTTTCGGGACAGCGACTATTACCAGAACGTCTCGCTTATGCGTCGACTGGGGCTCTCTGTCAAATCAGCCAGACTAAAACCCGGCGCCGTCCCTTCGATTTTTGACCACACAAAGAGCAAGCCACCGAGGGAAGCTTTCACTAATAGGACGAGGCGTGAGGTAAGAGCTTGACTCTGCGATGTAGTTCCCTTCGTGTTCGGCAGATGGAGTCGGTTTCCTTCGGCGTGTTTCCTTTTTGTTGGTCTTTCAAACGTCGCACAACTTGTGAGAGTTCTGGGTATTGTGCTCAATGATCGAGTGCTGTTTCCACCTGATACAACAACGCTTCGGTCAAACGAGTTTTTCTACCCACATCCGTCTGATCCCAACGGTCCGCTGTTTTTCTGTGATTGGCTCAAGCAAGACGATCACTGCTTCTGGTCCCCGGAGTTTCAGGCCGACACAGAAAGCTGGCGTAAAACGCTGTGTGCATCGTTCAAAACCATCAAAGCCGCCTACGACTTGCAATGTGACCAACTGCTGCGCTATGGATACAAAGCGTTCAGGAAAGCCCTTTGCCCATCAAGCACTGACAAGCAGAACGTGACACTTGCTCTCCAGATATTTGACAGCTCTCTTCCCAGTGCCCTTCCATGTCATTGGCATTCTGTGCATTGGAGAGAAGCACAACCTGAAGTTTTTCAAAGAGACCCGACTCTTTCATTGGGATTGCAGTAACGTGGTAGAAAATTGTGAATGTGAAGACACCCGGCAAAGGAAGCGGGAAGGAAGATCAGTTCCAAAAACCTGTGCACCCGGCTCTAGACGACGAGAAGGTGAATTTTTTCTACATTTTAGACTGGAGAGATGTATGGGAGAAAAATGGCAACAACTGCAAATTGACCGACAAAACTAATACCGCACTACGCCAGTCAACTTATGCGCTTCTCGAAATATGCAGGTACTGCTTCGAAGAGCTCAAGCTGTTCTTTTGTTTTCCTCAAGAAATTTCAGACGGACAGTTTAGAGGACTGCTTCGGAAGGTACCGGCGACTGGTAGGTTCCTAATACCATGTGTGTATACGACAACTTTACGAAGGGGAAAACAAGCTGCGGCTGCAAAACACACTTGCACCGATTGGCAAAGCTTTTGGAACAGAGAGAGATGCGAAATAGGAGGAAACGCAAAAACGAAAAGATGCGCCACGCTTTAGCTACAACATAGAAACAGAAGATTCCCTTTCAAAAATAGAAAAGATCGTCCCCATTCTAGCCTATGTGGCTGGATGTGCGGTGTATGCGACGGTGAAGAAGCTAAAGTGGTGAGAACTGCAAAAATACCCTGACAACAGACCACACCATTGCAGCTTCCACCGGCCGTGAATACTACCATCTCGTCAAAGACATTGACAGAGGAGGCCTTTTGTACCCAACACTGACTGCAGTCAGTGCTGTTTCACACGACTGTGTTGTTGTTGAGGAAATGTCTAAGCGGGTGAACTCCTTAGTGATGATAACCAACGCCAGCTGATCACGGACCTCGCACTGGACTTGCTGTTGAACGAGAATTGCTCCGACTTAGATGTGTGTGAACAAGGACACACGAGAGGTCGTGCTGAAGCATGTGTTGTGGTGCTCTACAAATATTCTACTAAAAACTTTTGCTGCGAACTCAATGACAAAGTTGTAGAAACAAATCTAAGAAAAGAAAACTGGCCATGTTAACAAAAAAAGTTACGTGAATATGCTAGCATGCACAGTGACTACCGTTTTGTCCGAGATATTTAACGCGCAAGTCAACAAGCGCGCGTTTCTGCCAAAAACTGGAGTATTTTCTACCCTTAAGTGCCTCTCCGGGGCGCACTGCAACTTCACCTACGCTGACTAGCGTGACGTCGTGCATGGAGCCCCCCGGCCTTCCGCTCTAAGTGGCTTTGGTCTTTTCGCACATGAGCGGAGGAGGTACATAATGGTGAAAGGGAGTGATCACGTGTGAAATAAAGCTCTGCCCTGAGTAGACTCTGTTTTCTTCAATGGGCAGCCAACTACAACTACACGTGTATTGAAAGTCGGAAAAACTTGCTGTCCTTTATGTGTAACTTTCTCTAAAAAATCTTAAAAATGTATTTTTTCTTATTTTTATTATTGCACAAATAAGTTATGCAATGCCGAACGCTCATTCTCCGCCCAAATGTTGCACTAGCATTCCGAACCAGAAGCCGAAGTTTCAGAGCCAGCATTAGTTTTGCCCGAGGGCAAGTTCGATGCAATTTGTACTGAAAAACGTCGGATTTCGTAAATTTATTTAGGTTAAGAGTTTTTAGGTTATTTATAAATATTTAGGTTAAGAGCCATGTACATAGTTTATTCTTTTTCAGATTCTTGAGGAGTTGCTAAAGGCTTCGGCTCCCACTGAAACTGTCCCAGCACCTTCAGGAAGCCAAGACCACACAGCAGCCGATTTGACGTCGGCACACGCTGTCGAAGTGTCCAAAGCAGCCTGTCAATGTCCCACGACTACAGACACGCCTGCAACTAATTTGATGCCGACAGAGGCTGTCAGATTTTCCGACGTGGTCCGTTGGTCTCCAGTAGCTACAACTGATGCGACATCGAATGGTGCTGTCAAAGTGTTTAAAATAGTTTACCAGGGTCTAGTAACTGCAGACAAGTGTATCCAAGTGGCAGTGCATCCAGCAACACGATGCAAGGCTTTACAAGTGGTTGCAAGGACAGGCATGCCATCGAAATCGGCTCAAACGCAACCTCAAGGCGTTTCTGTTGGTATGTTCTTCTGAACATAGCATGATTTTTGTCAAGATGTTTCAGAAAGCACACTTTTACGCAGTGACGACTAAAGTGCACAGTTTTCTGTAATCTAGTATTTCTCGTTTCACTGAAACTCTTTACTGCATTTACGGACACTTACAATGCAGACAAAATTAATCATGTTCTGTTCTAAAAACAATGATGTGGATGTCTTACATGTAGCTGAATGTTTTTTTTCCTCCAGGTATCCAAGTTGATGGCTCGGATGACTCTGGCACGGTGTGGCAGCAAGATTAATGTGCAACTAATGTTAAAAACATGGGATTTCTCAGCGAAGGATCGAAACTTTTATGCCTGCACGATGCGTGCAGGCTAGCCATAGTGCTGCAACCATTGCGGCAGTTGGCAAATGTTGATACTCGCGTGTTTACTTTCGTCCAGCCAGAGGTGCCTCATCACTTTATGTACACTGTTCACCCCCAGGTGAGACAGTGCAGTGGAAGATGCACACTCCTGGAACCAGTTGTACGTCCATCTCTCGCCACAAAATTGTACTCTCACCATCAGTGATGTGCAGAGCGTGTGGTGACGCGATAAAAGTGAGGCGGTCGATTGGTTTGGGAAGTGCATAGCTTCCATCGCGCTGTCAGCCTAGGGGTGAGCAGTCTGTAGTGTACTTCATCAGGTTGCGATTCGCATGTGCATGTAGCTTTGCAAAATGTACATACCAGTTGATCGGTCTAGTGCGAGGAAACATAGATACTTCCCACTTGTTTGAAGCAGACGTTGTAGCATGGCCGTCACCCAGGTTTCTTGGTCGTTCTTGAGGCCGGTGCAATAGGTTCGAACAGATCAGTTGAAGAAATAAAGGGGAGAATCTAAAGCTGGAGTGAATATGGGAACTTGCCAAGGCAGCACTGCCTTGGTGAGGAATAAAACTTGCCATGTGCTGGACCTTCGCTTGATTTTTGCACTGCTGTTTGCTTTACATAAGTAGTTCCACTCCATAAATGCAAAACAGACACCAGTAAACACTGCTGGCAGGGGCGGATTTAGAAGGGGGGTCCGGATGTTCTGACCCCCCTCTTGATTTCTGCTTGTGTAAATTTTAGGGCATGAAACGAGGGAGAGGGGGAGGGGGTTCCTAAACAAATGGTACGGTGACCAACACCTGACCCCCCCCTCAGGAAATTCCTGCATCCGCCCCTGACTGCTGGTACCATAGCAAAACGAGCAAACCTCTTTCTAGAATTACAGGAATAAAAAGCCTTGATGTCGTAACAATCTCTTTGAAGCTTATCCAATGACGCCCCTCAGAACCATCACTGTGGGAACAACTTGCAACATGCCATGAAAAAATCTAGCCGATTAATCGCAGCTGCTAGTTAAACATTGATTTTGCCGTCTTGTTGACTAATTCCTCAAAAGGTTTTATGGCCTAGTATGGCCACCAATAATGAGATCTGAGGATGCTATTGAAATTAAGCTAAAGTCTTGTTACGCTGACATCTTAACAGGTAGCAATGTAATCATTCATATTAGTAAATTTGTTTGAAAAATAAACTAACAACAAAATGACCGATTGATGTCATGTGAAACCGTTCTATACTGTTAATCAAAGGTTCTGCATAGTGCATGACAGCCTTTGTCCCAAGGGCTCGCACTGCCAAAGGGGCAAGAGACCCTACCTACTACTGTCTTTTTGTTTAATACTGCTGCAGAGAATGAAAAAGCCATGCAGCTTTGCCAGCATCACTCAAAGTCAAAAGCAAAACTTGAGTAACAGGTCCCGTGGGGTGCCTCTGGCTCGTGTGTTCGCCTTCGAGGCTAAAAGAATTCAGTGTGCACTGCAAGCTGCACTGACGGTATAAGTTTCAAGAAACATGTGCCACTTGGGATAGTCCCTTAGAGCACATACAGTTCTGCAGACGGCCTCAAGATACCCGAAAAATACATGGCTGTTCTCTGAACGAGCATGGGACCTCATTGCCGCTGGTATTTCTTTCTCAAAACGAGGCTTTGGGTGTTTTACGGCTTGTTTATTTTACGTTTATCTCGTAGGGTCGAATAAACTTCGTAAAAACATAATGAAGTTGGGAAGGAAGATGTGATGCTAAAGCTCCTAGTTACCAGAGCCTAGTTCTTCTGATGATCACTTCTTGGCGAGCGTGGCCCGCTTGCCCTCGCCCTTCTTCGGTCTGCCCTTGCCGCGCAGGCGTCGAAGTCGCCGCATCTCCTCCTTGAAGTCCTGGTGCTCGTCTCTGTAGAGCCCGTGCATCCGGAGTCGGAACATGAGCGTGGTCAGCTGATGGTGCGGAGGGTACCAGGCAACGATGTCCGGGTTCAGGTCGTTAGGAAGCTCGCTGAAGAGAGTGACCACGCGCTGGGACTTGACGCTCGTGGGGCGAGCCACCTCGCCGAAGATACGGGCGCTCAGCCGCGCCATGCGCTTGGCATAGTTCGAGAGAGATGACATCTGGTTTGATGTCGCCAAGGGCGAAGCTAGAACGTTGTTTTCTTGGCGCTTGGAGATGGACGCAATGCAGGAAAAGCGAACAGTTTCAACGCCGGCAGCCGCACTGGCCGTTCTTCTGGCTTGGCTTGGTGGCTTGGCTTCAAACTTGGGTTGGCTTCGAAGTTGAATACTCGACTGACTCCACCCTCTGAGATTTTGTAGCTTTTAACCACTGATTTCTATAGTGCTTTTAACTCTCAAATTTTGCTCAGCTTTGAAAATTTTGAAGATAAACATGAATCAACGTCATAACCAAGCGCTCATGCAACATAGTTTCGTTTCTGGAGGCGCGTAAGTTTGAAGTCCACTGGAATACATCTCTGGAATCGACAATAAAAGTAATTTAAGGTACTTTCTGTTTACTCAGCTGCATAACGAAGAAATGCAATGTTACTTAACCGTAGATCTTTTTTTAATGATATCACAAAAGTTTAGAAACACCATGTTTTGTTAGTTTTCTAATTTAAAATTAAGTTGTATAAAAAAAAAAAGAAATTAATTTATGATCACCCATTGTTTCTTTATCCTGGATCTCCCAGTATGCGACCTTCGAGACCAGCTCTCCAGATGCCACAAAAAGGTCAATCCAGCTCCTACCGTTTGAAAGGTTGCTTCAGCTGAGTCCTTTTCTTCAATAATGAATAAGTTGTGAACCCAAAAGAATTCACTTAATTTCTCACCTCTGTCGTCATTAATGTTTTCACCCCATATTACATTTTCAGCATTAAAATGACATTTTGTGACTAAGTATTGACCTCGTTGACTTCTCAAAATACCATCTAACTCTATCACTGTTCTTTCAAATTTTTATGTACACATTGACAAATACAATTATCGTAATGTGGTATGAGCACTCAAATATACATGCCTTGCACCTACGTCATATGATGACGTCGAACACCTGTATCCACCATGCTGGTTGACTCGACGGCCCTTCGCAGCGAGAGCAATGGTAAACTGCGCCGCGCTCGTCTGTAGCAATTACACTACGTAGCCCGACGATCGCCCTATTGTTTCGTCGGCATGCCCCGCGAGACAGAGTAGCCGTCAAGTTGGAGAAAGAACGAGCGCCGGGAAAGGGATGTGGCCGCGGATTACCGAGTTTGCGGGACGCGTTTCATAGCGGCGAGCGACGGCACTTTTCTATCGTGGTTAACGTTCGCTCACGCCTTTGCATCGGCTTTTGCCCGTTCGTGGTGTAGATGGCCTTTGCCTTTCGTTACATAAAGTCCCTTTCGACGATCCGAGCGCACCTTCGGGGCTCCTGGCCGAGTATGACGCAGAGATGGGCGTGTCTTTGGGCGGATGCAGGAATTTCCTGAGGGGGGGGGGGGGGGGGGGGGGGTCAGGTGTTGGTCAGCGTACCATATGTTTAGGAACCCCCTCCCCATCTTCTTCTTTTCAAGCCCTAAATTTTACACATGCAGAAACCAAAAGGGGGGTCAGGACATCCGGACCCCTCCTCTAAATCCTCCCCTGGATCTGCGTCATACGGACAAATTCAGTTTCTCCGCTAGAATTAGCGGGAAAATTGACGTCACGTGACCTCAACCCCAATTCAATTCCCCGCTATGTGACCTCAACACCTGCTACATTTAGTGGGGAAATTTAGTTTCTCCGCTAGATTTAGCTGGAAATTTGACGTCACGTGACCTCAACACCAATTCAATTCTCAACGAACTGAACACCAATTCAGTTTCCTACGACCTCAACATAAATTCAATTCCCCGCTAAATGATCGGGTAATTGAGGTCACGTGACGTCAATTTTCCCGCTAAGTCTAGCGGAGAAACTGAATTTGTTCATAGGTGACGTGACACCAAGTCATGTGACGTCATTTTCCCCGCTAAATTTAGCGAGGAAACTGAATTGGAGGAGGAGGAATAGGCGAGGGTGCGGAGGATTTTGGAGGAGCATACCCTCCCATCCGTACCCTCCCCTCCTCCTTCTCAAGAACTGCGCTCTAATTTCGCACTACAAAGATTCGTAAACGCTTTTCTTTTACATATTATTTTATTGTCACACCGTTGGCCGCTGAGGACGACGCACACTGGGTCCGAACCCTCTCCGTAATCTGGAGCAGGCTGCCGTTAGGGTCTTCGATACGAGCGAGAGAAGGGCCTGACCCAGGTGCAGTCCTTGGTCGGGCACGGGTTGCGCATGGAACGGGCCCTGGCTCCAGCCTGAACCTGACGCCCGGTCTCGCGGGCGAGTGCCGCCGGCACCTTTTCTTCTCGTCCTGCCGCCACTGCGCACACGCACTTCAAATGAGTTCGCACAAAAAAAGGAGTGTCTAAAGCCGCAGTCGATCACACTGCTCGTAATTACATCGCACAAAGGACTCGGTGTTCACTGCATGCATGATGACAGAAGTTTTTTGAGGGCACGCCTCAATCATCTTCGAAGCATATGCTTGCTTCATACATTTTTTTTTTTTTTTTTTTTTTTTTTTTTTTTTTTTTTTTTTTTACAGTGGATTTGTTAAGGGTTAGTTTCCCCGGTTTCGTGTTCGGTACCAAACAAGTGTCGACACAAAACTCTGGACAGCTACCGCCATCTATGAGCGCTGGACAGCTACCGCCATCTATGAACAACCAATCTGGTTGCCGCCGTCGCTCATAGATGGCGGCAACCTTTTTCTCTCTAACTTATTTGACCTTTAAATTCCCAAGGTGGCTTTACATAAAAAAAGGGAGGGGGGGGGGGCAAAATTAAATTAAGCAACAACCCGAGAAGTAACAAGAATATGACCAACGCATCCTATGATTCGGTGCCACGTTTTCAGAGTTTATTTATTGTGAAATTCGGAGGGTGCTTTTCGGAGTTTATCGGAGTTTATTTTTGTTGAATTCCCGAATCTTCAAAATATGTAGATTTTCTTTTTCTGCTACGTTTTTAAATGTTTGAGGTTTAAAATAAAATATATGTCCCATTTACCACAGGTAAAAACATGTCCCATGGATTTCCCACAGGTTGTGGTAAATGGGACATGTTCGGGTCGTGTTTTTGTAACATCTGGCGTGCCACAGGGGTCTGTGTTTAAAAAAGTGGCGGCAGGTTTAAAATAAAATATATGTCCCATGGATTTACCACAGGTTGTGGTAAATGGGACATGTTCGGGTCGTGTTTTTGTAACATCTGGCGTGCCACAGGGGTCTGTGTTGGGACCGCTTCTCTTTCTCATTTACATTGATATTTCTCGAGGAATTGAATCAAAAATACGTCAATTTGCCGATGATTGTGCATTGTACAACGCAGTGTCTGGTGAAACGGACTCTCACACAGCTTATCGGAGATGTTATACGAATTGAATCATGGTGTAGTAACAATAAGATGTCATTGAACGCTAGCAAGTGTGTTCATGTGTGTCTCACTAAAAAACATAATAAATTGACTCATCAGTACTTCATTAACAATGAAAATATTAGAATTGAGCCATCTTATAAATATTTAGGTGTTATATTTTCTGAAGACGGAACATGGACAGCTCAAGTGAACAGTGTCGTTTCCAGGGCAGGCAGGGCTTTAATTTTTTTACAGCGCAACCTTAAACATGTAAGCAAAGAGCTTAAGGAGGCAGCGTATAAAGCGTATGTTAGACCGATATTAGAGTATGCTTGTCATGTGTGTGATCCGTCTCACCAGGTTCGTATCAGTGCTATATATTCAATCTGTTGCTGCTCGGTTTGTCCTGGGAAGATACGATCGTTTCAGAAGCACAACCGAAATGAAAAAGGAACTGGGATGGGTGCATTTAAATGAACGTCGTAAAAGGCTGGGTCTCAAATTGTTTTACTCGATTCATACAACCAAACAGGAATTTGTGCTGCAAAGTTGCTGCATTCCCCATCTTACCGTTCTGCCCGTAGACCATTGTTATAAGGTTCAGCTGTATTTCTCCAAGACAAACATTATGAAACACTTTTTTTTTTTTTTTTTTTGCACGAACCATTGCGGAATGGAATTCATTACCGGCGGAAGTGGTATGCCGCGAGACTGTGGATCTCTTTTTTAATGCATTGTGCCCCCCGCAATAACGCCTGTATTATGTAGGCGCTGCAGGTTTTTCATGAATAAAGAATAAAGAATATATATTGACCGGCGGGCATAACGCCTGCCCTAGATTTATAACAGGGGTCTGTCGCAGTGTCAGTGGCCGGAAAATAAATATGTGAATAAAAGTGAACAAACAAACCTAGAGGGGTTTAGGACCTTTAGGTACAGAAAATCCAGTTAGGGTTTAAGAAAGAAAAAGAGCCTGAAATGGTTTAATAAATATATTTTATTTTGAAATTCGTTATTTAGTTAAGTATGACAGAAAACTCACCGGGAAAGTGCGGAGGAAGTTAAGCTTATGCATACATAATGCTAGTACTGGCGATGACAGTATGCAATAATTCTGACACAGGACACAAACATTTAACATATACTACATCAGACATGAAACAGGTGGTTAAGAACGGTGATGCTGGAGATGAGAACGTTCAAGTACTATTATGACAGGGTACTGTCAGCAAGGAATCTGAGCGGATTCGATGAGTTTGCTGAGCTTCGCGGCGCCGTTCCTTTATAGACGATTGCAAGCTGGGCGACTGGCCGCCGCCATGTCTCTGCTCGAGCAGGCACGCCCGTGCGATTACGAGCTTGCCAAAGCTACGCTCACCCGCGCGTTGCACGCGCTTGCACGCATGGGGCGCCCACTTGTGGCGCCATCGGGAGTACCACGGCCCACGGGCCGGTCGAAAGGCGTCCGCGGACCGGGGTTCGGAGTCGCTCTGATTTATAAGAAAACACGCGTACCGCATGACACTGGTGCCCTTGGCATTAGTAATATACTAACTGCTCCATGACAAAACTTTATAAATACACATTAAAATCACGGAACTCTTTGACGTATAGTCGTTGTAGAGTTTGTTTTCTTTTCGGCCTATTCTACCGCTTCTCCCTGCGGCTGCGCGGGGTGGGATGGTGAGATAAAATGATCAGCCGTCCCTCCCATCTAGTCTAAGCGTTCATACATTTCACGGTTATTAAATCACAACCCTAACGTCCTCGGAAGTTCGATCTGGAAACCAAAATAGAGGAATTCTGTCGTG